TTGTCTGCTATAATAAACAATATAGAAAAATGTTATACTTGATTACCTATAGTTTTGAGTTCAACCACTTATATGACTTTAAATATATATATAAGTATTGTATTTATTTTATCTTAACACTCAATACTTATCCTTTATTTYGTAGTGCCTTTGCACTTTTTACATTGGGTTTCGTTTTGATAGTTTGCTTAAATTTTAAACCTTAAAAAAAAATTGTTATTTTTACCATCATCAAATTAAAAGAATATGTTTCACTTATCTTTAATTTTTGAAATAATTTAATCTGCTTCTTTTTAAAATCCAAATGAACTAAATAATAGTATTGTTAATTATTATATTGTTTTTGATTTCTAAAAAATATAAATATAAATACAAATCAATCAGTTGTAATAAGGAAGTAAATGTAAAATTTGAATGTGTAATATTAAATGTAACTAAATAAATTATTGACCCTTAAAAAGTGTAAGTTTGTCGTACCACATTCGAAGCGATGGAGTTTCATTATGACTTTTTAAACTAAATTTAATTTTGAGACACATATATGTTATAGTAATAGATTTAATTAATAGTATAACATGATCAGATAATGGACTATTGCTTTCAGTACTGTGATATTTAAGTGATTCAAATATTCTGGAGTTGTTTATAAAATGACTAAGAACCTTTGACTGAATAAATAGTTTATTAACAGCTTTATTTTGATAATCATAAGATTTTAAGATTTTTTCAGTATGGAAACATATTACAATAACGTAATCACTAGGGTAGCTTAATCCACCTTTTTGTTTTAATGTAATCAATGAATTTAAGAAATCTTCTTTATTTATAGCACATAATGCTGTTAAACACGTTTCACATCTAAGAACAGAAGTTAATTTGTGCACAACAAATCCTGCAATATAAATTATTACTTCTTTTGAAAAATCACTATGAAGATAATTATTTTGGCAAGTAATATAATCATGGTCTRATAAAAAGTTATTATGAATAACTGAATTTTCTTCAGAAACATCTACATCATAATTATTATTTGAACTATTGTTAATAACTTTAATTTGATCAGAAATCAAATAGTGCAAAATGTCTATGTGGTCTCTGTTCTATGTGGTCTGGTTACTCTATGGCCTATGGGTGCACCGTGCACGATTATCGGATTATATCATTCTATGATTATATAGAACTTCCCTATAACCATAGAACAGTGCTATAACCGTGGTTCTGTGCTTAGTAAAATTAAATATTTTAAAATCAGCAGCAGATAGAAGCCAAAGTCCACCGACTACCTATAGAACTTCTGAACTTACACAGATGGAACATAGAATATAAATCATCATGATAAACCCGGTAATATCAACAAAAAATATTTTTTTGTGATCTGTGTTCTGTGTATGATTTACATGATAAATTAAAAATTAAATTTATCATGATGATTTATATTCGGGTTGCTACAACTACCTCGAGAATCATCTGCTACGATTTAATAATACTCCGAATTTATTACTTCGAACATATATTACCACGACAGACTAAAACTACTCCGATATACTATCACACCGAAATTCTATATAAATTATTATTACTTATTAAAAATTGTTACGATGTGCAACTATTCCGAAAATATTGATCTGACGTGAGAATCGTGAGATGACTCCGAATTTCAAAATTATGTTTAACATTAAGTTAAACTTATATTAAGTTGTTTAAGTAGGTAACATTATAAGTATTATGTTTTTTCACTAAAAGGCTGTCTTATTTATGTTTTATATAGTAACTATATAAAACTAATACTACCTATATAACTATATATAACTGTTAAAATATTTTGTTTCATGATTTTTAATCATTTTTTTGTAACTAAGAAAGATTTTTTTAACCCTTATATAGGTATTTATAATATATTATAATGCGTTTTTTAACTATTGTTTTCAATAAAGGACACACTTTTTTTTAATTTTGACAATTATTTTATTGTTATATTATTATATTTAGTAGTAGTAGTAGAAACGTAGGAATAATATTTTTATTTTTATTTTTTTTTTTGGGGGGGTTAATTAAACTCCCATCCCTGCGTTCATGCTCGGTTCTCGAAGAAAAACGAGAAACAGAAAGTGATGCCCAAATGCTTGAAAGCTGGACAACATAATACACATGTATTCTCGATGTGCTTGATTCACATTCTTTGTTTCACTGCAAGAAAAGTGGGATTGTGAAAAGTAGAATGAACCTCGTAGATAGGAATTTAATTAACTGTTTTCGATAAAACAATCAATAAACCATTTTTCATACGACATAATATAATTTATAAAAAGTATATATACTTATTAGATGAACCAAATCAAAAGGATCAGAAATTAATAATTTAACAAAAAACAATACAATTATACTATATACATACTATAATAAAAACTAACACAAATTACTGTAAAATAAATTTCTTAAATATACCTATTTAGTTTTAGTAATATGGTCTTCGAGGATTATTCTGAAACATTAAATTTAAATATTTAAATTAAAACAAATAAAATAAAACTTTGTTGCATGTATTATAAATTATAGTTTTTATATTGTAAATTTGTGTAAATTTATCTTACCAAAGGATTAGGACGAAAACGATACKCTAACATCATTCGTTTTCGATAAGCATCAAATTCATCATCATTTTGTCTGAGTTCTGATGGTCTTTCAACGCCCAAACCATGATTTTCATTATGAGATCCGCCTCTGAAAAATACAAATATATATTTTTAAAATAAATCAAAAATGATTGTACTTATTCATGAAATTTTAAGGCAATTTCAAATATTTAAAACATTTTAAACAAAATTACTTGTTAACAGGCTCGACGATACCAGTACCACTAGATCCTAAACCTTGCCCTTCAGACCATCCAAGTTTTTGTAACATCTGAAAACCTATATTATCTTCTTTTAATTTAAATTCTTTATAATCAGACAAATCAGGTTCACGATCTTCTCTTAAAGCAGAATACTAAAAATAAGTTATATTTAGTAAATTTATTAAATATACATAATATACACAAAAGTATCATGACAAGTTTAAATTTAAAACCTTTTCCATGAACCTAGCAAGTTCATCAGGAGGTAAAAAGTCCCCAATGTGATGTTTATCTTTAGACTTTTCGGTTAACTCTTCAGCCCATCTTTCAGTAGCAACCATTTCCTCTTTTCTTAATTTATGCTCCCATGTACCACCTTCAGTATCTTCATCACTATCATATTCATATTTAAATTTTCCAGCTTTCTGTAAGCTCTCTAATTGTTGACGTTTTTTTAACATATCTTGATACAACAAATTAATCTGTAATAATAATTTAGATATAAAATAATATCCATGTATAAATGTAAAATAAATTATATATTTTAGTATAACTTTATAATGATCTTCTGCTTTCTTCCAATCTTCTTCAGATAAATTTATTGTTCCAAATGATTGCATAGCATACTGTATTAAAGCAGGATCATTTCGTCCAACTTGACTGATCATGGGTCCAGACATACCGGGAACACCGACTAATTAAAAATAGTAAGTTATTAGTAAAAATAAAAGAAAAAAATTGAACAGTCTTTGATTACCAAGTTTTTGAGCATTAATTGGTTGGGAAACAGTTTGACCAATAATAGAAGAAGTACCACCAATTGTTGAAGTAACCGGAACTTTAACATTATCATTTGCCCAACGACTTTTACGTTTACGTTTTTTTTTATTAGTTACATCTTCACTATCAAAGTTTGTAACTAGCAATTGGTTCAATGTTTGAGGTTTTATCTCAGTTGGTGTTAATTTATTAGCTATCATTTTAGCTTTCAAATATCCTACTCTTTGCCGAAAAATTGTATAGGCTGGAGAAYTTTTATCCCTCAAAAATCTATAATATTTAACAACAGTTAAACACTTGATATATACATAAAA